GTATGAAGAAAAAGGAAGAGAATATGGGAAAACAAGAGAAATAGGAAAAGGATATTGAAAATATAGCGGGCGGAGGATCAAATAAAGATAAGGCTTCATAATTATATAAATAAATAATTGATATATTCAATTGTAGGAATAAAAAATAAAATAAGAAAATAATAATTAAAACTGTAAAAACAAGTGTAAACAATTTATAATTTATAAATCTCATAATTGTTTAAATAAAATTAAATAATAAAAGAATATGTTAAATCAAAGTTCATAATGACACATTTTGTTTTACTGTGTTAATAAATATTTAAACTGGGTTTTTGGCGTCAACCCTACCCCGTTGTTCAATTTCTTAACGTCGTCTAGCCTCGTTAGCTATTTGTCTACAATGAGTAAATAGCTGCATAAATATGTAAGTGGCGTGTGAATATTAAGTGATTTACTCATCTTTTTAATTATAGGGTTGAAAATATTGTTTCGGATTTTTCCAGGGACAGCGACCTTGGAAGTGAACAAGAGTGAGTCATAAAATACAATGAATTCTTTTAGTTGCATCGATGATATTAGTTCTCTGAGCTATTCTAGGTCTAAACGAGATGGAAATCATGACCAGCTTGATAAAGAAAGATATGCTAGGTATGATTTACGCATTTATCCTAAATATTTCAGAGAAAGCCATTGTGAAATTGAACGCCGCAGAAGAAATAAGATGACTGCTTATATAAACGAGCTATGTGAAATGGTACCAACTTGCAGTTCTCTTGCTAGAAAACCCGATAAGCTCACTATTCTTCGCATGGCCGTCAGTCACATGAAAACTTTGCGTGGTACTTTTTTATGAATTTCTTTTTGGTGAAAAGTTTTTCAACAGCATAAAATATTTAATTTATTTTTTTTAAACCAGGAACAGGGAACACTGGGCTTGATGGATCATTTAAACCATCCTTTCTCTCCGATCAAGAGCTTAAGCACTTAATACTTGAAGTATGCTTTTGATTTTAACTCAATTTTATTTTTTACTAAAATCCTTACACTTTATGATTTATCTATTTTTATTCAGGCCGCTGACGGATTTCTATTTGTTTGCCAATGTGATACAGGACGGATTGTATACGTATCTGATAGTGTGGCGCCTGTTTTGAACCAGACGCAGGTAGTTACATTAATTTATATTGTCCACTTGTTGATATATTCGAAGCAATTATGCTTCAATTGTGTATAGGCGATACCCATTTAAATAATAGACTACTTTAATATGTCAAATGTTTATAAATTAATACGTTCTGTCAAGTTATTTCTCATCGAATTAATTGTAGATACGAGGAATAACAGAGTTTCGATTAATCTCTTGAGATAACATTGTTGGAGACACTTCCATTTTGTATGAAAGTGTATGAGAAGAAATTCGAAGATCGATCTCCATTAATTTAATTACTATACATTTTGACGTTAAATCAGTGCATGCTCCATCTCTACTCGTTTTCGATTTTATCTTATCTTTATTTGTGTCTTGCATATATTTAAATTAATTGCATTAATATTTTTTCTACTCATGGTTTAAGATATTTGAATTAAGTTTATATTTTTATAATTGATAGCTTATTCATCTTTAGATAATGCGATATTTTTATGTCTGTGCTTTTAATTTTTTACAATTAGTTCATTCATTTTAATTAATATTGTGTGGCGGCGTGACAGATATATATATATATATATATATATATATATATGGAGAGAGAGAGAGAAGGGGGGGTTAGCTTTGCAGAAAAGTAAATTAGATGTTTCTCGTTAAATACGTCCTGAACATAATTAATACTATAAATCAATTTAAAATCATTGCTATTCTATGTTTGTATAATGTTGTACAACTTTCCTCTACCGTTATATGTGGTAATTTGATTTTTTGTCTGACATTAATAATGTTGCTTTTTATTCAAGTTTCTGCTTATAGTTCTTTTAAAATCTCAATCAGGAAATTGTATACATTCTAGTTGCTTCATATTGGTTTCTATGGTTTCACTATTCATGTATCCTTTGCCATTCAAAATTTATCTTCATTTTTGATTGGGCTAATGCGAAGTTTTAGTAAATTATTTTTACTAAACGGCTCCTGCCATTTCACACATTAGCTTTCCAGGTAAATTTTTCACATCTGGAATTTTTGGCTCGACTTATTTTATATATGTGCCCAACTCATCTAAGATTAATGAGTTTCAATAGTTTGATACTTTGATTAACCTTAATAGTCCGAATGGTATCAGCGTACTATTTACGAGCTCTGCCATCCTGATGATGCCGAAAAGATACGAGAGCAATTGACCGGATGTTCTCTTCCGGCCCAAGGTGCCGCAGCAACCGGTGTTACCACAATCTCGCCAACTAGCGTGTGCAACCAAATTACTCAAGTTAGCTCCACAAGCTGCATACCCATTCATAGCATATCATCCGCCTCGTCCACCTCTTCAACATCATCCAGTTCATCAACTACCATCGTTACTTCTGAGCGTGTCGCGATATGTAGTCCTGCATCAGTCAGATGTCAGGCTTCAACATCGCCTCCAATTCTGGCGTCTAGTACTGTGTCAATGTCAAAAGGACTTCGTAGCAATGGGGATGCTGAATCATTTGACGTACACGGACAGTCTAATCTACAACAACATCATTCCTTGGTTCCAGTTTCATCAGCACGTATACTAGATTTGAAAACGGGAACAGTCAAAAAAGAGGGACAGCAATGTAAGTTACTAGATAATGATAAAAAAATTTACTAGGAAAATCAAATCATAAAGAAAGTTGTAGCTATGCAACCTAGGCAAAATTAAGCGTGATTTGTTTAATTAAAATCATGCATAAGTCTAGATGAAATGTCTCAAAACCTAACTTATTTGTCCCTCTTTCTGTCATATGTCTCTAGTCTTTTTGCCAAAAAGCCTACTACACTGTGTCATTCACCTCGCCGGGATGATGTTTTCTCATCATATTTAAA